AACTTTTACAATAACGGACTAATACAATATTTGTCCTTTTGTGACTGACTTATTTCGCTCAGCATAATGTCCTCCAAGTTCATCCACGTTAAGCGTAGGGTGTATTTTGAGTCAGTCTCTTTTGAGATATGAAAGAAACTAAACACAAAAGAGAGTAAACAGAGATGGAGTAGAGATGGCAAGCCACGTGAAGATCGCCCAGGAGCAGAGGCTCAAAAGGGACAACAAGGACCTTCCTCCAGACCCGACAGAGAGAGCCTTCCCCTGGAGCCAGCACCCTGCGTTCGGGCTTCTAGCCTCCTCAACTCAGAGAAAATGAATTTCTTTTTGTGAAAGCCGTCCACTTGTATTTCTGTTATAGCAGCAAGAAGGCAGGTGGAGAGGGAGTCAATCATTTTGATTCGGGGAAACCTTTCCAGGCAGAGGAGGAAGTAGTGACGTGGAGAGATGGCGTGTGAAGGAAGGCAAGGTGGCTGGACTCACCCCTGTCCTGGGAGCTCAAGGGGTTCCTGGCTGGTTAAAGATGCCATGGTTCATCTGGTTCAAAATCTTTCTATTTCTGATGATGTCTTCCCCTATTAAAAAACCTCTGTGGCCCAGACCATCTGTGAGACAAAACAGAGCACTTTGATCTGATATTCCAAGTCCTTCCCAATGCCCACTTCACCCTTCCAGCATGACTTTCGCTATACCCTGACTCAGCAACAACAGTAATAATACCACTCATTTATCGAGCATTGACTATGCATTTTAACCCAGTCACTGCCCTCAGTTCTACAGGAGTTAAAGTTTGAGAGGCACCATGCCTTTCCAACAGCAACGGTCCTGTCCTGAAGAGAGACACATATTTGCAGGCAGGCTGAACACGTTATCTGCATCTTATTTAATCCTCAAACAACCCTATGGCGTACCCACTGCTGTCGAGTCAGATCTGACTCATAGCGACCCCTCCTTGGGTTTCCAAGGTGAAATCGCTTCGGAAGTAGATTGCCCAACCTTCCTTCCAAGGAGTGGCTGGTGGGTTTGAACCACCAGCCTTCTGGTTAGCAGTCAAATGCCTTAGACACTACGCCACCAGAGCTCCCTATTTAATAGGGAAACAGGTGGAAGCCCTAGGTCACCAGCTAGCCAGTGGTGGGGCTACATACCCATCCTCTTAATTATGATCCTCTTGTCACCTATTAAGGAAGACTGGTCAATCTACTTCCATAGAGATACTGCCTCAGAAACCCAAGGAGGAGTCCCTATGAGTCAAATTGACTCAAAGGCAGTGAGTGGTTTTTTTTTTTTTTTTTTTTTTTTTTTTAGTTGCCTAGAAAAATGAAGGGATTCTTTGTTCTCTGACATGCTCACAACCCCTGCTTACACATAATTGTTGCTCTGGCATTTAATCATAGGAAACCATGAGTGCTCCATGGGAGGCTAGCCAGCCTGAGTGTGAATCCTGGCTGGGTCTGTGGAAGTGTCAGAACCAGGGGACTGGTGGGATGTGGGAGCAGAGGGTTAGGGGCTCATAGAAGGCCCACCTGACTGGCACACATGAAGGACAGTGCTACTAGCTTCTGGCCAGGTGTCCAGCTCTGTGCTCACTGCTGTGCACACTCTCCTGGAGCCTCAGTTTCCCCATGTACATAGAGAGGAGTGGAGCAGTCTGGTCTACCTATTTCATTAGCATAGACCCCCCTTTGACTGTTTAATGAGAGGTAAAAAAGACAGGAAATGCAGAGGCACACATGTACCTTCCAGGAGGGTCAAAGAGTCCACCAGTAGTCCTACGCTAGATATACTCCAGCTGTTGGGAGTCAGTGTGGGGCAATTTAGGCTCCTGGGCTCTGGGAGCAATGACTCAGGTTCCAATCCTGCCTCTGCGGGACCTTGATGTAAAGCCTTAACCTTTCTGAGCCTCAGTTTCCTTAACATTAAAATAAGTCATTGGATTTAGCACATCTACTGTTGTGAGAGCCAATCCAGATGCTCCAAGAAAAAGCTTGGCCAGGCCCAGCCAAGGATAGGACTCCCACAATGCCAGGAGCCATTCTCCAAGTGTGGCACATGGACCATCTTCATTAGGATCTTGGGGCAGGGGGATTCAAACCAGGAGTGTGCGTTTTAAGCACACTCCCCAGATTTTGATAAGAGTTTGCCAAAGGGGCAAGGAGGCTGACCTCCTCTAACCCCACAAGAGAAAGACAATCACCATCAGTAGCCCAAGGCCTATTCCTGCAAAGCCAGACATGCTGGCTCCCTCCAGCCCTTTCACCAACCCTGACAGCAACCATTCGTCCCGCAGCACCCACCACCTCTCTGCTGGGTTCAATAATTTGCTGCAGTAGCCACACAGAACTCATAGATTATGGGGTTTATTAGGAAGGCAACAGGCTACAATTCAAGTTCAGGAACATGCTCAGTCTCTCTCTGCCTGCTATCTCTCAGCTGACAATCTCTCTCAGCAGTGTGTGTCTCTCATGTCTCTCAGGAGCACGTTTCTGTCTGCAGCACATCTTTCTTAGCCAGCAGAGAGACTCCTTTTGCCTCTGGGAGGGCTCCTTTTTGAGCCTAGCAGAATGGCCAAACTAACCAATCCCAACATCAGAATTCCATACACCTGAGAGAGAGAGAACTTCCCAGAAGATTGCTTCCTGCTGCTCCAACAGAAATACCCCAGGTGGATAACTTTTAATAGTCAAGAGCTACTACTCAGTTGCTCATGGCAAATTCCACCACAGCGTTTATAAAGGCTTATGGCTAGAAAAGCCACACTATGGAATTTACTACACCTCAGAGTTACAGTTTGAGAATCACCACGCCTTTCCAGCTTGATAGTCCAGGTCCTAGAAAGAGAAGGATACATTTCCAGGTGGTTTGGGAAGAACAGAACAGGTGCAAGGGTGAGGCAGGATCCAAACTACCCCACCCCGCACCCTCCTGCCAGTCTTGGTGTCCCATCAACTCGATTGAGGCCCGACGCCCTCCTGGCCAGCCTGTCACGGGGAGGGGCGAAAAGAACAAAGGAACGCGCCTTTGGAGCGGGGGCAGGAAGGAAATCGAAACCTGGCCTCGGAAACTTTCACTTTCGCAGCCACCGCGCGCCATCCAGGCGGCCCCGCGACCCCAAGACGCGCTCCGTCCGGGCACCGTGCGCCCCGAACCTGCCCCCATCCCGCCCGCGCACTGCATCCCGGAAGGTCGGCGACTCCTGGTGGAGGCGGAAAGGAAGAGGTCCACATGGCGGGGTCTGGGGCTCCCCTGCGCCTCCGCGACTGGCTGGTGGCGCAGATCGAGAGCGGGCGCTACGAGGGCTTGCGCTGGGAAGACGCGGACAAGACCATCTTCCGCATTCCCTGGAAGCACGCGGCCAAACTGGGCTACGAGGTGCAACAGGACGCGGCGCTCTTCAGGGTAAGGGAGCGAGGCTGGGGGACGCCCAACCTCGGCGCACTGGCTCTCGGCTCTGGAAGCGCGTGACCCCAGCGACCGACCAAAGTGCTGTGAGACGTGGAGCCGCTCTCTCGGTCCTTTGGCCTCAGTTGTTTTTAGGTAGAGGATCGTGCTCACCATATATGGGAGACCCCAGACACCCTGTAAAAACAGTCAGCCAGGACTGCATAACCTGCCTCCCAGGGGGCCTCTCCCACCACTCCATGGGGAAACTAAACCCAAAACCCACTGCTATTAAGTCCATTCCAACTCATAGGGATCCCCATAAAGTTTCCAAGGCTGTAAATCTTTAGGGAAGTAGAATGCATCTTCCTACCGCTGAGCAGCTGGTGAGTTTGAACCACCAGCCTTCTGGTTGGCAGACAAATGCCTTACCCACTGCACTGCCAGAGCTCCTTACAGGGAAATGAGATGCCACCAAAGGGAATTCCCTCAACTTCCCACCCCCAAGCAGCCAACTCGCAACTTGGGAACCCTTAGGAGTGCTTCCAACACCAGCCCCTCTCAGAGACCTGCCCCAGTGAAGGCCTCTCTTCCAGGTAGTCACTAACTGCCTCCAGACCGGCTCCTTTTCACCAGCATTTAAACTGGAATCACTCCAATCAGCAAAAGACAACCAGTCACACATCAGGCCATAGTGATTACCCCACACCCCACAGCAGCCTGCAGCCCCCATCTCTGTCCTCTAGTCTCCCATCCACAGCAGGAAGCACCCCCAAGCAATCTCCTTTTCACCCACCCTCTTGTACCCCTCTTCCCCTCAGTCTGGCTCCTGCTCCTGCTAAGGTCTCTAGTTGCCAAACCCTAGGACGTGCTTCATCTTCGTTGGCCCTGGCTGGGTCTGGACCTCCCTCCTCCTTGAACCACTCTGTCTTGGTTTCCAGAATCTCTGCCTCCCCCTTCTCTTCCTCCTACCTCCCTAGCGGCTGCTTCTAAGCCTCCCCTACCCACCTCTGCTGGGGCCTCCCGCACTCACTCCTGGACCGCCCTCTTCATGTCTCTTCCTCTGTGTGGCCTCAGTGTGGAGCCTCAGGAGGGCTTCCCCTCCAAGCCCCAGGTACATCAGCATGGCTGCCTCTGAAAGAGCTGTCTCCTGAATGGCCCCCAGGCCCCTCACACTCAGCTTGTCCCTGTGCATCAGCTTGTCTGGACCATCAGCCCACCCCCACAGACTTCTGTGTTTCCCAGCATGAAAGATGATGCCATCTGCCACCAGGCTCCAGAGCCAGACACCCAGACCCCGGCTACTCCCTCCTCTTCTGCCTCACCTTCCCTGGCAGAGGGAGGAAGGCAAGGGAGGCTTGCTGGTCCTGCTTCCCGACCAGCTCTTCAGTCCATCTGCTTGACCCCACTTCTACCACCTCTCACAAGGACAACTGCTGTGACCCCGTGGGCTCCCCGCTTCCCCCATCTCCAGCGTTTGCCCCTCTCCCCTCGGTGCTCTAGAGTGTTCTGTCTAAAATGCCAGTCTGCTCAGATTCCTTCCCAGGCTCCCCATTGCCCTTGTGATCAAGGCCACAAAGCCCTGTGTGAATAGCCCCTCCCTGGCCTCATCTTTTGCACCTCCCTCCCTGTCCCAGCTTCAGATCCACCCTGACTGTCCTTTCAGTTTCTCTGTTTTATTTCTCTCTCATCATTCGACCTTTGCATATGCTGTTCTCTGTGTTTGAAACCTTGTTCTCTTCACTTGACCAACTCCCATTGTCCCCAGAGCTTTCCCTGATGCATTCATGTATTTAATGCATTAATTAGGCTCCTATTCAGTGTTCCTCCCACAACAACCCTCATTCCCTCTGCTTCCCCCATTGGAACACTTTTCTCTCTGAACTCTAAGCGCCCTGCATGAGTCTGTCTTCTCAAGCAGACTAAACTGCTCAAAGTGACAACAAGCATAGTGCCTGGCACACAACAGGTGCTCAATAAATGTTGACTGAGTGGTTGCATGTTGTTGTTGTATGTGCCATCGAGTCGGATCCAACTCATAGCGACCCCTCCTTGGGTTTCTGAGGCAGTATCACTACGGAAGTAGATTGCCCAGCCTTCCTTCCAAGGAGTGGCTAGTGGGTTTGAACCATCAGCCTTCTGGTTAACAGTCAGTGCCTTAGACACTATGCTACTAGAACTCCTTGAGTGGTTGCATAGCCTGGCGCTTAAGATGGGCTGTTGTTCAGAGGAGGGAGATTCCTTCTGGCTGCTCTGACTCATTCCTCAACCCACCACTAACACACTGGCTTCAGACCCTCCTGGTGCCCCAAAGCCCATAGGACAAAGCTTGACCTTCAAGGACATTCATGACCTGGCTTCCACCCATCTCTTCTTCTTTGGTTCCTCTGTCCATTCCTCACACCACAGACACATATCCTGACACACCTTCCCGGCTCCAGCTACACCAGACTGCTCAGTGTCCCCTGAATGTCCTGTCCTTCCGCAGTGCCAGGTCTTTGTTCAGACCGAGCCCTCTATTCTACCTGGCAACTTCCTACTCATCCTTCAAGGCCCAGTTCAAATATTTATTGAGCATTTCCTGTGCACCTGGCATCTTTCTAGGAGCTTGGGGCACCCAAGCAAAACAAAGACCCCTGTCATCATGGAGTTCATTCTCAAACTCTCCTTCTGGGCAGCCTTCCTTAGCATAGTCCCTGGCCCCACATTGAAAGTAATAGTTCCTGTGCCCACACCACCTTTGAGTTAGCACCTCCTTAATGCCGTGAATAAATGCTGCAATAAATAAGCACTAACTGTGTGCCAGGTGCCATGCTAAGCACTTTGCACAGAGCAGCTCATCTTAAGTCCACCATAACCGTGTGAGGTGAGGTATTATCAGAACAGTAGACAGAGGAAGAAATCAAGCCTCACTGGCAAGTGGCATCAACCCAGGAACAGTGTGCTTTCCCATTCTGGTGTCAGTGTCTCCCAGGAGGCCTGAGGTCTCTGGGGGCAATGAATTGAGTGCAGTTCATCAGTTATAACCCCCTCAGCCTGAGTGTGATAAATGAAATGACACATCTCCTACCACCCTCCTCTTGAGCTCTCTACTCCAGCCTTCCTTGAATTTATTAATCTCTTTCTTACCTCAGGGCCTCTGCACATGCTGTTCCTTCTACCCTTCCCCTACCTCTTTGTCACACCAGGTCCTTCTTTTCATGCAAACGTCACCTCTTCAAAGAGGTCTTCTCTGGTCACCCTTATTTTTCCTTATGGATTATTTAGTACTTCTCCCATAATGAGACACTCTGGTAGTGTAGTGGTTAGGGCATTTGACTGCTAACCAGAAGGTTGGTGGTTTGAACCTTCAAGCTGTTCCACAGAAGAAAGATGAGGCAGTCTGCTTCCATAAAGATTTACAGCCTTGGAAACTCAATGGGGGGGGGGGTGTCACTGTGAGTCGGAATCGACTCGATGGCTGTGAGTTTGATTTTTCGGTTTTTTCCCGCAATGAGCAATCATTCTAATGTGTTTAATGCATATCTTTTGGTTGGTATGAGTTCTTGAAAGTAAGCATAGAAGATTTTCTCCTATGTTGCATTGTGTTAATTTTACAGTTTTACCTGTTACATTAAAGAGCTCTGGTGTTATAGTGCCTAAGGCATTTGACTACTAACCAGAAGGTTGGCGGTTCAAACCCACCAGCCACTCCATGGAAGGAAGACTGGGCAATCTACTTCTGTAAAGATTTACTGCCTCGGGAACCCAAAGGGGGTCACTGTGAGTTGGAATCGATTCAATGGCAGGGAGTTTGGTTTTGGTATTCTCTCTTACATTTGTTCTTTTAATCATCTAGAGTCCACATGATAGCAAACTACTGCCATTATTTTGTATCCCATCTCCTTATTTTTCCATTTCTGGCATTTATCACAATCTGTAACTTGGAATAATAGTATTCGTGTTTACCTACCTGCAGCTGTCTTCTCCCAATTCGACTGTGAGTTCCTTGATGTCTGTCTTGTTCTCCAATCACTCCCCAGCCCCTAGCTCAGGCCTTGGAATATAGTAGGAGCTCAAAGAATATGGTGGATGGATGGATAGGTGGATGGATAGAAAGAGAGTGGGAGGCCAGGTGGCTCCTCTTCCCTCTGCATGGCCCCAGCCCAGGCTGTTCCTCCCCAAGTACCCCTGCCCACCCTCAGGCCTGGGCTGTGTACAAGGGCAAGCACCTGGAGGGCACTGACAAGGAGGAACCGTCCACGTGGAAGACGAGGCTCCGCTGTGCCCTCAACAAGAGTGCCGACTTCTGTGAGGTGCGCGAGCGCAACCAGCTGGACATCTCCAACCCCTACAAGGTCTACCGGATTGTAGCCAAGGGCACCTGTGGCCCAGGTACTATCCTGACCCTGGAGGTAGTGGCCCCAGGCAGCTATCTGTGCAATAAGGGCCTCACTTTGCCCAACTGTAAAATGGGAAAGGGTACACTTGTTGAGCTTAAACTTATGGGCTGGTAAATTAGAAGAATTCTCAGCCCATCTAGTTTGTCTTCCCATTTGGCTAGAGGGTAACTGAGACCCAGAGAGAAGTGTGCCTTGCCTAAGGTCATTCAGTGAGCTGGGATCCTCTGGTCTGGGGTCACCTCAGTTGACTCTTACTCTATCCAATCCCTTGCTGTCCCCTTGCTTCATCCAGTGACCAAGGCCTGGGCTCTTCCTGAAGAGAGCAGACCCCTGAACCAGCAGGAACCTCCTGGGGAAGTAACTGGTCAGGCCTTCAGAACAGATGAGGTATGTGTGTCCTTTTGGCCCCTGTAACTTCATGGCTCAGTCACCACTCCCTAAACCAGCCATTAGCCCTAGGCTTTCTGTTTCTATGATGTCTAAAACTCACTACCATCGAATCAGATCCAAGGCAGTATCACTACAGAAGTAGATTGCCCAACCTTCCTCCTGAGGAGTGGCTGGTGGGTTTGAAACCCCAACCTTCTGGGTAGCAGTCAGATGCCTTAGGCACTACGCCACCAGAGCTCTATGATCTCTAGCACTATTATTTACCTCTTTCCTTCCATTACTCACCTCCATCCCTCCTAACGGCTACACTGCTTGTTACCTCTGCTCTGTCTCTTCTGTTAGTTCCAGCTCCATCACTCCATTCCCTTCACCTCTGTCAGCTCTAGCTGCCTCACTGTCTCATCCCCTCCACCATGTTCAGTTCAGTCTCTCATCTGTATCAACTCTATTTTCTCCTCCTTCATCCTGTCTCCCTCATCAGCCTTGGGTCCCTCACTCCATCTTCATTCATCCTGTTAGACTTAGCTCCATCTGTCTGTGTCACTCTTATTACCTTCACCTCCATCATCTATGGTTCATTGTTTTGTCCCCATTCCCCTCAAACATCTTTGGCTCCATTCCACTGTCCCTAGTGTCCCCATCAGCATCTGCTCATCACTCTGTCCCCCATCTCTAGCCTCTCCAGCTCCCTCACCTCACTTCTCTATCACTTTGCCCCAGCACTTGTCTCCCTACTGCAACAAGCACGATCTCTGATCCCATCACACCTAACACCCACATCAGCTTTCTCTTCACCTCCCGTTGTGTGTGTGTGTGTGTGTGTGTGTGTAGGGCAGTCCTGTGCTCTGAAATCTCAAAGATCCTATCAACCTAGCAGTATTTTGTCTACTCAGACTTCCCTCTGACCCAGTGGGGACAATCTGGGAATACCTGTGGGCGCAGGTCTCCCGTCCCACCTTCACGACCCTCTCTCCCTATGCTCAGGACTGCTCTAGATTAACCACAGAGGATGAGGACAAGAAGCCACCTTCTAGATTGGCCCAGAAGGGCTCTCTGCCACCAGCCACCCTACTGCCAAACCCTTTGGCTGACCATAGTAAGGATGGGTTCTCCTCACCAGCCACCCTACTGCCAAACCCTTTGGCTGACCATAGTAAGGATGGGTTCTCCTCACCGACCCTGCCTCCTCACTGTCTCCCCTGGGATCTTGACTATGCCACCCACCCAAGCGCCCAGGGTGAGGTGGTGCCTAACTGCTTCCTCTCCTCCCCCAGGGTACCAAGCCCCCTCTGAAGATCTCAGCAACCCAGGTAAACCCCAAAACCAAACCCACCACAATTGAGTCTATTCCAACTCCTAGTGAGCCTATAGGACAGAGTAGAACTGCCCCACAGGGTTTCCAAGCCTGTTAATCTTTACAGAAGCAGACTGCCTTATCTTTCTCCCACAGAGCAACTGGTGGGTTCAAAGCACTGACCCTTTAATTAGCAGCTGAATGTCTAAACCATTGCACCACAGAGCTCCTTTCAGCAACCTGGGCAGGGACTCTAAAGGCCTTCCCTCGAGCCTCTGCCTCCCACTCAAAGCATCCAGCCCTGACTCCCAATTACAGCAGCAGCTAACATTTGTCGAGGGCTTAGTTTCTGTCAGACACTCTTCTAAGCACTTCCCACGGCTCTATGACATACCAGAAAAACCAAACGAAACTCACCGCCATTGAGTTGATTCAGACTCATAGCGACCCCCATTGGGTTTCCAAAGCAGTAAATCTTTACGGAAATAGATTGCCCAGTGGTCTGGTTACTTAGTACTGCTCTGACAAGAATATACCACAAAGCTGAACAAATAGGAGTTTATTCTCTTACAATTTGGAGGCTTTAAGTCTGAGTTCAAAGTTCCAGGCTCTACAGTTGTGTGAAAGCCCCTTAGGCTTCAGCTCTGCTTCCTGCTCCCGGCCCACTGGCTTTTCACTCAGGCAGCTACTGGCTGCTGAGGCTGACAAGCCCAAGGTCGACAAATAAAAAGGCACAGTCCCAATGTTACCAAACCACACGGCAGGCCATTAATTCAAGTCCATTTTAAGTCCCAAGGTCGGCAGAGCACGGCAGGCTGCTGAACAGCAATACGGCTACATGCAGGGCCCAAGCGTGCCGTAAGCTAGAGACCATTCCCAAGGCTTCTCCTTATGTACAGGAAGCAGACCACATTGCCTAAGGCAGCTACTCAGCTGCTTGTGGTAGATCCACCATGGAGTTGATTGCCAGTCTCATCATGGGGAATAACTACCACCAGCTGCCCAGCCACTCAACCAGGGCTAGCCAAGCTGACACACAAACATAACCACCACACCCAGTTTGCCTTCCTCAGAGCAGCTTGTGGGTTTGAACCATGAACCTTCTGGTTAGCAGGCAAATGCCTTAGGCACTACGCCACCAGAGCTCCTTTGTATGATCTAAGTACTGCCACTAATCCCATTTGACAGATCCAAAAATCTGCCGGGACGCAGAGATTAAGACTCTTCCTTTAAGGTTACACAGCTAGTAACCCTGGGACCATTACTAACAAATCAGATCTCCTAAGTGGCAGAGAGAGATTAGAATCCAAGGGTCTGGCTACGGAGCCTACTGCTCTAACCATTGAGCACACGACTGTCTCTTCATATGGGCCACTGTCGTATTATCATTATTACTTTTATTATTTCTGTCAGCATCGAAATATTTGCCAGGAGGACGCTGCCACAATCCCAGAGGTCGGGGCTGGGAGGGTCTTAGTGTCCCTTCCCCCATAATTCAGATGACCTAGAGCCTGCACTTTTAACACTGAGTTCAAATACTACTAGTTCCTTTGTACTGGAAGCTGCTGTTATTTATTATCATCATCATGTTTGTTACTAATACTAGAATATTTATTATCACGGGTTGGGAAGGATAGCCACAAACTTCTTGGGTTGGGGCTGGACGGCCTCGGGGTCCCCTGCTCCACTGGGGAGTAGATGGTGCGTGGGAGTGGTGAACAAGGGTGGAGGCGGAGGAAGGAGCCGGCAATGCCCCTTTCCGGTTTCCGCAGATTGCTGGTTGCACGTGCGGCTGTACTATGGCGCAGTGCTGGTGACCGAGGCCACAGCGCGCACAGCCGAGGGTTGCTGTCTGAGCCCGCGGGCCGCTGCCACCGAACACCTGCTGGGGCCGCTGCAGCGTATCGCGCAAGTTTGTTTCCCCCCGCCGCCGCCCGGAGCCCGCGCGCTGCAGCACCTACTGCCGCACCTGGAGCGCGGCGTGCTGTTGTGGGTGGCGCCCGAGGGAGTATTCGCCAAGCGTCTGTGCCAAGGCCGCGTGTACTGGCGCGGCCCGCTGGCGCCGCACCGCGCGCGTCCCAACAAACTGGAGCGGGAGCGCACCTGCCAGTTGCTTGATACGCGCCGTTTTCTCGCGGGTAAGAGCGCCAACAGCGGAGCTGCTGGCGGACCGGGGCCAAGAGGCGTGTCTCAGAGGCGTTGGGCGTAGGGAAGGGAACGTAGAGATGCGGGCCCTGGTTGTTGTTGTTGTTGTTGTTGTTGTTATGTGCCGTCGAGTCGGCCCCGACTCATAGCGACCCCTCCTTGGGTTTCCGAGGCAGTATCACTACGGAAGTAGGATTGCCCAACCTTCCTTCCGAGGAGTGGCTGGTGGGTTTGAACCGCCAGCCGTCTGGTTAGCAGGCAAGTGTCTTAGCCACTAAACAAAGGCCATGGCACAGAAGCACGGAGAGTCAGGAGGACCGGACACAGAGATGGACTGAGTGTGTGGGGCCTAGGCACAGGGCCAGCTTGAGGTGGTGGTGTGAACATAAGCATAGGAGTGGAGCACATGTGTTGGTACAGGGGTGCTGGGTATGAAGTGGGCACCTGGGCACCAAATAATCAGTTAGTGGCAGTGGGCATGGGGTGGGCATTACAACGTGGGCACAGGCACACCCACCATGGGAATGTGGGTTCACAACAGGACATGGTGGGAAACCTGGTCTTGGTCCAGCCCCCAAGTCTTGGTTCCATAGAACTCTGCGCCCACCTGCGGGATGGCCACCCGGAGCCTGAATACCAGATCCGTCTGTGCTTTGGTGAGGAGTACCCAGGCCCTCCAGGCCAGCCCGAGGAGCGGCTTGTCATGGCCCATGTGAGTCACACCTCCCACACACACACTCCAGCAGAAAGCCACACCTCCAGTCTTCCCACGTGGTCCCTCACCTGCTCCTCCAGTCCTGGAGCAGCCCCTTGACCTGCTGTATGACCTTCTGTTCTATATGACCCAGCCTGTGAAATGAGTGTGGGGAGGCCCTATCACTTGGTCTTTCCAGCGGGGAGGGTGGGGGCTGTAGAAGAGCTGGCTCATGACCTCACCCACCCCCACAGGTGGAGCCGGTTTTTGCCCAGAAGCTCTTGCTGCACTTGAAGCGCTTTGGCCTTGGTGACCCCGTGGACCCCCAGTCCAGCATGCCCTCCTTCATCCACCTGCTGACTCACCTGAGTCAGCCCTGAGCAGGTCACATCACATCCTCCTTTCATGCCCCTGAAGTCAGCCCTCACAGGATGTGTGGACCATGCCCCAGTGTGCCAGTGGACCTGAGGCCTCCCCACATCCATCTCCCGGGGACAGCAGACGTGGGTCTTAGCCTTGCCTTCAACCTCTCCGCTGCACGGCTGGATCCTGGAACACCAGAAGTAGACAGACCTCCTGGGGCAGCTGGGCCTGGGGCTTGGACAGAACTGAGCCAGAACTTGAAGCTCCAGAAACAAAGATTTCATCTCCTGGCAAGAGCCCAAGATGCTTCTAGCTGTTTACTTGGGGTTGTTTACAGGAGTCTTACCTGCAGTTGAATCTGTTATAATGTTTGCTTAAAGTTCAATCCACTAGTAATTAGATCCTCAGGTTACTTAGAATAGAACCAACCGATAATTAAATTGCCTGCCCTCTGAGGGGCTCTGAGTTTCCAGACCCTTCCACTCACCTGCTACTAGTCTCTTTTCTTTATTTGGAGAAATCACCAAACTTGGCCTGATCCTGAGCTTTGGACTCTAACCACTGAACCACAGTCTACTGATGCTGCATTCAGACACTATCCTTGGAGAAACTGAAGCAGGCCCCAAGATACAGCCCTAAGGCGGAGGCCAAAGTGGGAGTCAGGACCCCAGCCCTCCCTAGGCCCTGCTGATCTTAGCAAACTGTAAATTGCAGAGAATTCTTGAAAATTGGGAGAAAACCCAAAATCAAGCTCACTGCCATCAAGTCATTTCCAACTCATAGCAACCCTATAGGACAGAGTAGAACTGCCCCATAAGGTTTCCAAGGCTGTCAGTCTTTACGGAAGCAGTCTGCCTCATATAGGTCTCCCTCGGAGCAGCTGATGGATTCAAACCTCCGACCTTTTGGTTAGCAGCCAAATGTTTTAACCTGCACCATCAGAGCGCCTTGAAAATTGGGGGGTGCGGAGCACCTGCCACCATAGTTGCCCTTGCCTTGTCAGGCAGATATTTTCCACCCAAAGTAATAGATTTCTTTCCTTTTTCTGATGTGTGAGTTTATTTATAGGAAGACTTTGGTAGATGCCACATAATAAATTTCACTTAATAATACATTAATAAGTCACTTTAATTTGGGGGGATGGCTTGATTCAAGAAACATCAAAAATAAATCAGATGTTAAATTGGTAGATATTGTGTTATATATATTTTTACAATAATAAAAAAAAGTCAAGCTGATCACTATTTTTTAATTAAATCAACAAATCAGTTGCCCGGTTATTGAGCACCTACTCTGTGCCAGGCCAGTGCTGGGCACTGGGGATCGAGCAAAACAGCACTGTCCCCAGGCTTGCTGGTCTGATAGAGCCTGGTGGAACCCCTGAGACTGTGGCCCCCAGCTGCCCTTCAGGTCTGAAATTGAACCTGCTCCTGTGGCTTCCAGCCAAACAAAAGACAGGCAAATGAGCTGAACATTTACATTAGGTAGATACACTCCTTGGAGAGATCAATCAT